TCCCTAATATGCTACTTACTACGGGCATCAGCAACACAGAAGTTGCATCGTAATAACGTTTCGACAATTTCAATTTCTTCATAGAATTATGCTTCCACAGCGCTGCTTGTTTCTCGATTGCAACGCATGACAACTTCCAAAACAGTTTGCCGGGCCTCTCTGTAAGGACACGTGACTTTTCATAATATCAAAAGAATATGAAAACTTATTCGTATCGTAATACTGAGTACAAAAAATTCATATACGTGCAACTTGAATTAAAGTTAAATTTAAGTACAAAAAACTACAAGAACATTCTAAACCGAGAGATCTATTCACGTTCTTACTTTATGCATATCAAGTTATTGCAATAAACGGAGCTGCTCAAGCTTGTTTCATGTGACTCTTTGTAAGTAAGAATATGTTTTGTAAAACACGCTTATTTTTTTAAGGCGAACAGAAATAAAATACTACGAAATAAAATCTAACACGAGCTAAACAGCTAATGTATGACTTGCAAATGCTTCGAACAGCGCTGGCGTAAAATGACATAGAGAATGTTCTATTACTGACGAAAAGGGATGGTTGTGTCGTAAGGTGCTATCAATTTGAGCTAACCGGAACACAAAAGCGAGTGGCTAGCATTCGGCAATACGTGATTAATTCGCGCTTTCCACAGGAAGTCTGCATCCTTTAAAATCAGGTAGAACTGTTTGCACACTAAGCTCAAACCGTGTACTAGCGTCGACGCATCTAGAAAGGAGCATATATGCAGGAACATCTGAAATGCAGTCCAACAAAATAATTAAACGCACAACTAAACAAATGTTCCAAAAGAGACGGAGACAGAACGAAAGAGAGAGTTCACCGTTGCTGAGTAAGCGATGTGAGCATACTCTACGCCGTCGACAAGTGACTACTGCGCACTTACTACGAAATTATTTCGGAATGGTTTAGTTCTTTTCTAGATTTTTATTGTGTTTATTATAGAGAAAATGTAATAATTCTGATCGAAATCCATTCTGAAGAGTTCCATATTGCGCGCCTTGACAGATGAAACGATTTAGCGACGATTAAGAAAAGGAATTTTGTGCACGTGTACGTGAAATAGAGAAATCGACGATTTTCTTTTTCTTATACAAACCTCCTCCGGGAGATCCAGCAGTGACTTCTTTTTCTTTCTTCTTATTGGCCCAGGCAGTACTCCGACTCTACGGCCAATAACACGTAGCAGACGTAGCAGTGACAATTGTGCATATTCCTCGTCGTCGTGAGCGTAGCGTTCATTCTCGTCATCCATTCTATCTCGCACCGTACGAATCTGAGTATTTTCACTCGATCTGCTCGAACTGACCGGTGGTCTAACAAACGTGAAGGTGGTGTATACACCGGCAGAGAGAAGTTTCTCTGACCGTGAGTAAGGAGCTGCGTACAATGAAAGGAATAAAGAACAGGGAACAGGGAATGGGCAATAGAGAATAGGCAATAGGGGAATAAGGAATAGCGAATAGGGAACAATTTAATATTATCATATGCATTGTGCACACAAAACATAGAATAATATTTAGTCACTGTTTTCTTATATCGCTATTCCTCTGTTCGTCTATTCTATGTTAATAAATTACATATGTTAATGAATTTCATATATTAATATTGAAATTCTCCATTCCCTGTTCCTTATTCCTTTCATGCGCAATGATACACCTTATATTCTTACATCATGCGCAGCCCCTAAGTTTCCATCGAGGGTTCGAACCGGGTCAGAGTTGAGTTGGGGTGAGCGCTCTTGCGGTGGAAACACCAAACCTGAGAGAGGTCATCCCGGTCTTTTTTAATGGTGTTATGCATGTATGTATAACACCACTATATTTGCAGAATCATGTTTTATCGACAGTGTCGGAAAATGAACGTGCCTATATACGTAGTACCAATTTCAAAAATGGATGTATTGGCGATAGTGTACAGGGGGTTTTGATGGTCCCACGAAAAAGGCTGGGATGCGGCTTCTCTCAAACTTCTCTCTCTGATCAAACTCGGAGTTTGGGTACCTCTATGAAGCTAGCCGACAGAAATTACTAAATTTGATTATTTTTAACTTTTCTAAGTTTCGTTTGTGATTGATTGTGAGTCCGTTTTTAACGTTTGTGATCAAATAGTTTTCTTTGTAATTAACATTTTTACTTTAGTCGTGATGTCAGCCGACACTTTAATGTCCATGTCTACCAATGCGGATTAACTTTAATCTCAGTTTAACTTACTTTTTAT